CCTGGTGCTCTTGTAAATAAAGGACTTTTTATTCAATTTTTAAATTGTTCATTATTAACATTTGGACATGTAATTGAGTTTTGAAATTTTGGATATATATTACACAGCTTTCTTGAATTTATAAGTTCACATTTTTTCATGGACTCATTAAAGTTTTCTATACAGAAAATTGTGTCATCTATAAATAGAGATAATTGTAGCTTGTAATTTCCAAATGGGTGTTTTTTCTTTCTTGTTCTTCTCTCATTTTTCTATTTATACTGTCAGTACTCTGTCAATAGAAGGGGAGGAGTGAACATTCTTGTCAGTTCTTCACCTCTGAGTATGATATTAGCTATGAGTTATTCACATACAATCTTCATGTTGAGGAAATTCCATTGTGTCCTAATTATTAAAAAATTACTTAATCATGAAAGAATTTTGTGTTTTATCAAATTCTTTTGCATTAATTAGGATAATGGTGTATGTACCCCCTTTTCTACTAGCTTGCTGTACCACATTGATTGGATCTCATATTTTGAACTACCCTTGCATGCATTCCTTCACAAATCCCATTTGATCATAGTGTATAATCCTTTTAATATGCTGCTGAGTTTGGCTTGCTAGTAATTTTTTGAGGATTTACGCATCTGTGTTTGTATGGAATATTGGTCTGCACTTTTTTTTCCTAGCATGCCCCTCTGAAATTTTATTTTACTTAAAAACGCTATTATCTTTAGTTTTAATGAATTTTCACTCTCACACTATAACAACTGAAAAAATTATCTTCTGGGAATTTATTTTCTTTTTTGTAATAGCCAAGAGTACATACTTGGGGGGAGGGGGGCGAAGGGAAAGAGAGACACCAATAGAGCTTTGGTAGTTATAGGTTTTGAAACATCTGCTTTTATTTGTGTATATGCATGTGGCCGTGTGACTGCTGCATGCATGTGAGTGTAGGTGCCCATAGAGGCAGAAGGGGGCATTGGCTCTCCTGGCGCTGTAGATCGATGGCGTGACTGCTAGAGTGGCTACTGAGACCCACATTCAGAGCCTCTGGAAAGTCAGCACGTGCCCCACAGAGCCATTTGTTTAAACCTAAATCGTACTCCTAATGAAGAGTTTATTCTGATCTAGGCTAGTGACCATGTATTATAGATAGAAGACTAAAGTACCTCTCTCTTTCTGAGGAGAGAAGGGATCAGTCTCCCATTGTTGAGTAGGGATATTGGTCTGTATGCTTTTTCTAGTCTCCCCTTCCCTGGTTTTATAATCGTTGTTGTTATCTTTCACTCTCTGGGGAAAAATCAGCTCCTGAGGTAGCATCTTTTAATGGGCACTATCTAGTATTGTTCTCCCTTGTCCTTTGGTAGCTCTAGAGATGCGTCCTGTAGAACCAGGCTTCTCATAGGCACATCCATGCGTTAAAATCATCTAAGACTATAAGATCAGTTTTGTTCCTCTGCTTCCACAGTGATAGTATCTTCCTCTTCATTCATAGCTTTCTCTTTGGACTCTTGCTCATTCTTTCCCTTCTGTGTAGTGAGTGACTGGCCTTATTAAGATGCTCAGACACGATGAAAACATGAACTCTCTCTCATAGGAGGTTCTGTCAACGCACAGTGGCCTTCATTAGAGTGCATGGGTGCCTCTCATCACAAGGGTTCTGTTGGCAAGCATTCCTGCTTACATTCTGGTCACTCTGGCTTCCTGGCGTCTGTGGTTCTAGAATGAGGGGGGAGTGCTACTGTAAGCTCTGTGTCACCTTGAATATCTGTCATTTATTACAGGCAAGTATGGCAAAAAGCTGAAGCTTATTCCAGCTTGAACTGACAGTAGTCCTCAGTTTTGTTTAGTTATGGCTTGCACTCTCCCACAGAGCATTTGAAGCACTCTGTATGATACGTAGAAGAGGGTAAAATAAGTAGTTGAAATAATCAGTGCGAAGTGGAAATCAGGACATTAAAATAAAGCTGTGGTAGGACTTACATAGATTTAAACTCTGAGGGTTTTTTCAGTTGTTGAGTGGATGTACATGTTTGTCTCCAAGTTTCCACAGAGCCAAAATAAAAAGTGAATTATTATGACTAATTATGTAATGCACGGCATCCTCAAAGTTAAAAACAGCCCAGTTGTTCTGGATAGGCATTTCCTTAGACCTAAGATCTATTTTTTCTGGTGGCCTCCTGTAGACTATATATGGTAACTAGCATCCATAGCAGACATTCATGACATTGTCTTAATAACTTAATGAGCCATGATATAGTGCTGAGTGTATTCCAAATAAAATGGGATAAAATTCCAGATAAATGGGACCAAATCAAAGTGTTTTAAAGGTAAAATTTGTTAGAGCTTACCAAGCAAACATTGCTCTTTTTTCAAAACTTCCATGGTGATTGGTTGTCACAACATAAGCAAGCTTTTATATTTTTTTTGAAAATTGTGTGTGTGCATGTCTGTGTGTGTGTGTGTATGTGTGTGTTTGTCTTTCTGTCTGTCTTTCTGTCTGTCTATCTGTCTGTCTACAGATATCTGGCAAAGCTAGATTTGTCAGATCTTATAGTTGGAGTAATAAGTGTTGTTAAGTTGCCTGATGTGGGTGCTGGGAATCAAACTCCAATCCTTTGTGAGATCAGTATAAGCTGTTAACCACTTAGATATCTCTTCAGCCCCTCGACCAAGCCTTTTCACCAGAATAATGATGAGATGAGTATGCTCGACTAGCACTGGCATAAAGGTCACCTGGTACTTACAAGCCCACTTCTCAGCACACTGAGGTACTGGGGAAAGTGCTTCTTAGGTGTCCAAGGTTCCTGTTTCCTCTTGCAGCTTTCTGAGGCTTCTTAAGTCCAAATGGTTGCTTACAGCCAGCAATGTCCATTCTCTCTAGTCTGTAAAAGTGGAGTCTAACCTAAAATGGGCTAATGGCTAATCAGAGGAGCAAAATCTCATCCTTTATGGGGCCTCACCATATTCAGGCAGGACTTTCTCTAAGACCTGTGCATGATGGTGGGGGTCTTGGACCACCCCTGACTGCCATAAAACCCTGTGCATCGTTGGTGTCCAATTGGAATGGGGTTCTTTCATGAGCTCTTTATGTAAGCTTTTCTAGCTGTACAAATGACTCCGAAGCCTTCCTCCACACAGTGCTTTATAGCATTTCTTATCCTGCCTCATATATGTGAAATACAGCCTTAAAGTTCATGTCTGTGTCATAATCTGGACAGGACCCTTTACCTTTGGAATAAATGCTACTGAATACACATTTCTTCCCACATTCTTGAGATAGCTTAAGCAAAATAAAAATGGCATCTTTAAAATGGTGAAGGGTTTTTTAATTGAACTTTTTTTTCATACAACATATTCTGGTTACAGGTTCCCTTCCCTCTACTCCTCCCAGTTCTTGTCCACTTCCCGTCTCATCCAAATCTCCCTCCTTTACATCTCATTAGACAACAAACAGGCTTCTAATAAATAATATATATGTTATAATGATGATAAAACAAAGACAGCCTCACGAGAATGGAACCAAACAAACAACCAAGCACAGGAAAAGAGCCCAAGAAAAGGAACATAAACAGATACAGATGCAGAGACCCACTTGCTCACACACTCAGGAAAGTGTGAAACCACTCCCATAAAAACACAAAACCAGAAGCCGTAATACGTATGTCATGGACCTGTAGAGTAAAAAGAGAGAGAAAGATAGCATTAAAAAGGAAGAAGAAGAAGGAAAAAAAAAGCCATTTTATGACAAGGAATCTCCAACGATGGCATTTAGTTAATTTTCTGTTGGCATCTACTGCTGTCATGCAATCTGCCCTTCAGAGTAGTTCAGAGACTCCCTTAGAGAAGACTAGATTTTCATTTGCACATGGTTATCAATTGATGATAGCCTCTGAGTTAGGGATGGGGCCCCTGTTCTTAATAGCCTGATACTGTTCTCTTAATGTCAGCCATTTGCTGTGGCACATTTTGAAGATGTATCTCTGTATGACAAGCCACTTAGGGAGAGATCTTATCTTCCTTTCTCTTAAGTGGTCTGCATGTAGGGTACTAATATTTGAATCAAAACAAACACAGATTATAGAAAATGCTAATTCAGAGGTGGGAGCCAAGCCATGGTTTTGGAGCTGGGGTTATGACGCAGCAGATAAAGTGCTTGCTGTGCAAGCATGAGGACCTGAACTTGGATCTGGACCTGATGAAAATCCAGACCTGATAGTGAATGCCTATAATCCTAGTGCTAGGAAGACAAAGACCAGCCAGTCTCACTGACTCAGGGAGTTTCAGGTTCATTAAGAAACCTACCTCAAAAATACAGTATAGAAGCTAAAAATCATTTTTTCATTCTTGCAGAGGACCCAGGTTTAGTTCTTAGCACCCATCTAGCAGCTCAAGACCATCTGGAGCTCCAATTCGAGAGGCTCCAGCACCATTTCTGGCTTCTACTGGAACTGCATGCATATGGTTCACCTATGTACATCCAGGCAAAACACCCTTGGCCTCTGTGAACACTGCATGTATATAGTGCACACCAAAATATGCACACAAAACAGCCATACTCATAAAATAAGAATATAAATAAATCTTTAAAAAATAAGGTGCATAAGAAACTAAAACAGGTACCTGATGATAACCTCTGGGATCAACACAAACACATGTGCGTGCACACACGCGCGCGTGTGCACACACACACACACACACACATCGGGAGGTATAGAATAAGAAACAACGAGAGGATAAGCAAACCTACCTTTGAACTTTATTGAGATATCAATGACACTCCCCAGCTGGTATGATTCCAGAAAGCTTCTGGGGTGGGGGTGGGGGATATAAGAAGTATAAAAAGAAACAAACAGGTAAGATTGAACATTGTCTTGGATAAGCTCATAGTACTTTTCATTCCTGCCACTAGGAGGCACCATTCAGCACTGCCAGCCTTTGTCAGAAAGCACCAGACATCTGTGTGATCTTGATGCTTTCCTAAACAGACATTTTTGCTTTGTTTCTGATCATAGCTGGTGCTCAGGATCGAATCGGCTGGGCCTTTGGCCTGGGATTAGAGAGACTGGCGATGGTCCTCTATGATATCCCTGACATCCGCCTTTTTTGGAGTGAGGATGAGCGCTTCCTGAAGCAGTTCCGCCTGTCAGACATCAATCAGAGTGTCAAGTTTCAGGTAAGATGACTTAGAAGAATTAGGATATCGTTGGTATAAATGGTCATTAAAATCTGGGAGGTTCTCCTACTTGAACATTGTTGAAATTTCAAATAATATTTTAAAATCAGGGTGACAGTCTTGACAGTCAGCTTGATGGGATTTAAAGTCACCACAGAAACAAATCTTTGAGCATTTCTTTAAAGAATTATCTAGCTTAGGTAAATCAAGATCAGAAAACCCAACCTAAATGTGGGCAGTGCCATTCAAAGAGCTTCAGTTGTCCTGCATGAATTAAAAGGACAAGGGCAACTGTGCACAAGCACCCATACTCTGCCTTGCTGGTTATGGAAAAATTAGGAGCAGCTGTCTTCTGCTTCTTATGCTATTCCTGCCATAGTGGGCGATATCTCTGGATCTTTAAGTCATAATAAATCCTCCCTTTTAAAATAGATTTAATTCATGTCTTTGCTAATTCTCTATAATCTGATGCATTGCATTTTGACCAAACTCACCTTCTCTCCCAATTCTTCCCAGATCCACTGTCTGTTCCATACCCAAATAAATAAAACAGTTCAGTTAGTGTTGGGGTTGCAGGCTTTCTTTGGGATGTATTCCACCTACCGGGTGCCACCCCCTTAAAGAAAGCCACCTCTCCTTCCTTGTTAGGGAATTCATAGTCACTTTTCCTCCTTATAATTGGACTTTTGTCTGGCTTGAACTTGGACTGGTCTTGCCACAGTCTCTGAGAGGTCATATGTGCAACTGCCCTGTTGTGTCCAGAAAGCATTGCTTTGTTGTAGTTTTCCACTTACCAATGGCTTTTACAATGTTTTCACGATTTTGCAATGATCCCCTGATACTTGGAAGGAAAGAATTTTTTATAGATTTCCCATTTAGGTCTGAGCACTTGGCAATCTAGTATTCTCTTTACCTGGACCAGTTGTAGGTCACTATCTATGGGGGGAAGGGGAGGAGCTTCTCTCATGAGGCTTGTGAAATTCACTAATATGTATATATAATGGTAAGTCATTGAGTTGTTTTAATATCATGTCCTGTTATTGGAGAAACAGCAAGTTGTTCCCTAGGTCCTATGTTCTGTCTAACCACAGGATTTTAGCCCTTATAATAGTGTGAACTATAGATTCCACCTTGTAGAGCAGGCCTTAAATCTAATCAAATACTGGTTGATTGCTCCTATGACATTCATGCCACTATAGCACCAGTGGGCTTATCCAGACAGGCAGGATGTTATTATAGCTTCCAGGTTTCATGTCAGAGTAGACTAATGGTAGCTTGTTTTTGTTTACTAGTGTGCATAGTACTGTCCAGCACTGTGAAAGCCAGTCATTAGTGATAACATTTCCAGATATGTTCTAGTTTGATAGTTCAGTTGTCTTCAGCAAAAGGACTTGGAATGTAACGAAAAGCAACAGAGAACCCCTGTAATGTATGAAGGTCTGAGGGACATTTACTGACCAACAATTCCAAAAGAGGTAACCCATTCCTAGCATTGGGCTTTCAGTTTATTATCCTATGGTATTTATAAGGGACATTGTTGTCCTCTTAGATTGTATCTCCATTTAAACTCACACACATTCTCTTTCTTTCTCTATGTATATGTATGTGTGTGTGTTACCTTGATATAAATCTAAATATATCTGAAAAGAAAGAATTAAACTGGAGAAAACATCTCCAGAAGATTAGCCTGTAAGCACGTTTGTAGGGCTTCTTCTTCTTTTTTTCAATTCAGTGATTGATGTATAAGGGTCCTACCACTGCAAGCAGTGCTATCTCAGGGTGAGTAGTCCTGGGTGTATAAGAATGTATGCTGAGCAAGTCAGGAAACATCATCCCTCCATGGTTTCTGCTTTAGTTCCTAGCTTCAAGTTCTGCCCTGTTTCTGCCCTGACTTCCTTCATTGCTGAAGTGTGACCTGTGAAAGCCCCTGCCATGACCCATTAGCTTCTTCACTTAATAACTAATCCCAAGGCCACTTCTCCACTTTTAAGTGTTTGTTATAAATATCACCTTACTTCAAGATACCAAAGTACATATCAATTTATCTTACTGCTTTGACACATGACTACAAAGTTGGGGACTTAAAACATGAAGTTATCTCATTTAAATCGGTAGTCTGGCACTCTGGAATCAAGGTGGTAGTAGGTATGGTTCCTTAGGGAGGCTCCAGGGGATAGCCTGTTCCTGTGTTTTTGCCAGCTCTCTAGACCCCTAATTTGACTAAATACATACCACATGTCCTTTAGAACTCCTGAAATCTGGTCATTTTCTCTGAATTTTTGCCTCCTCCCTACTAGGACTCCTGTGATTCCGTACTGCTAGTAACATAATTCAGGATACTTCTCCTTTTGTTTTGTTTTGTTTTGTTTTCTTTTGTTTTGTTTTGTTTGAGACAAAAATAGTCTAGCGATATTGACCTGGCTTGCCTTGAAGTAGCTGTGTAGACCAGGCTGTCCTCAAAGTCCTAGGAATCAGTGTGCCTCTGCCTTCCAAGTGATGCTCCACCATGCCTAGCCTCTCCAGACCTTTCTTAGTTGCCTCTGTGGAGACCTTGGTACCTCTCTCTAGACATAGGAACATATTCTCAAGTTCTAGGGTTCTAGATGTCTTTCAGTAGCATTTTTTGCCTGCCTCTCTCCTTTTCAAATAATGTTGCTTGCCATCAAATATTCTAATTTTGTTAGTAGTACCTTTTACTATTTTCATACAGTTGCCAAGTCTATGTCCCTAAGAAGGAACCAGGAGCCTTTTGCCACAGCTGTCTGTAATCCTAGAGAATACTCCCCTGACTAGGACAGAAATGTTGAGAAACGCCTTCTGCAGCTGTGATCTTGCAGCTTATGACTTCTCTGGCCAGGAACCTCCAGGATCCTGTTGTGTTAGGCAGAGATTTGTCTCCTTTATCTTCCCTTGGGTCCTCCTAACTTATGCCCCAGGCTCTCTTGGCCTCAGGAGTTGTATCCTCTGCATCTCCATGGTCTTATAAATTAGCTCCTGGCTATGAGGGTGTTCTGGCTGCAAGGACAGTCTCTGATTTAGAGCACTCTGAGGCCTTATCCAGGATACTCTTGTAACACTTTGAGAGCCATTTCTTAGATTTAGTAAGGAGAAACTTGACTCATGCCATTTTAATTTTTGGTCTTCAGCATGCATACTTTGAACAAAGATTTACGCATGACAGTTCTCTTTGGCCTACCCAAATGATGCTTTCAATAAGTGGACAAACATTGTGGTTGCTTTGTCATGCAAGTGTTCCCTTGCCCTGCACAAGAGCTTTCTGCCCGCTGCTCCACGGCCCGATGTACTGCCGTTTAAATGCATGTACCTTTATGGGATGTATCTCTGCACTCCCAGGAAGTCACACTTGCATATTAGTGCCCTAAATTGAGTGCACAGTAAATCAGCTTGTATATATTTTTGAAGCAATCTACAAGTGTGAGGTCAATATTTAGCCTTATACAGTATTAATACATCATGCACTTTATTTACATAGCTTGCCTAAATGTCATTAATCACATGTCTGTCCATAGTAGTTTACCAATTTTTTAGCAATACTGGCTGTCTTCTTTTCTGCCAGATGAGAGGTCTTTGCAGGTTGTCTTTTTTAAGCTTAATTGACTTAAAATTCATGGATACATTATTCATATCCAGAGCATGTTGTACTCATATGTAAATATATAAACTACCAGGTTTATTAACTTCCTTTATGAATCTAATCACAGAAAACCACATATATTAATAATTGTCAAGTTTTAATATCCAAATGAATCACCTGTGTTTCCTATTAAACATGGCTTCCATGTGGGGCGAGGAGGCTTGAATTTCTTCATCTCTGCATGTTATTACTGTGCCATGAGTCCACAAGCTACACGCTCTGAGTGACAGCCAAGGCCTCGTTTGTCAATGAGGCAGACCCTCCAGCCTGGTTCTGAGCCATCTTCCTCTGGTGCATTCTTCTTGTAAATTTAGCATTATTCTTTCACAAGTAGATCTATAAACCTTTCTTCTTGCTCTAAGTTTTTAAGAATTGCAGTTACTTTTACTCTCTTTAAATTTTTGATGACCTGCTTAAGATTCCTTCCTTTCCTGTCCTCGCCTCTCTCCTCCCCATTCCTTCCTCCCCTTTATTGGTACTTGTATTTCTCCTTTATCTTTATGCTTAAAGTGATGAGATGTTAGTCTTTAGATCAGAATGAATATCAACTAGAGACAATGAAATTAGAATTTTAAAACATAAGTTCAATAGACAAGGATTTGGGATCAGGCATCAGCAGGTGGGAGCTGTACTGGTTTATTGTATCTACTCAGTCTTGGGGGAAGTCAGCTATGTCTAGTCGCCCAGGGAAACTCACTTTCTCTGAGCCTTCTAATGATAGCAGCAGTTATGCAAGGACTGGAGGTTTTTAAAGGGATATTGTATATTGGCTCTTTCCCCTTAAGTATCTATTCTGTTGAGTAGGCATAATTCAATAATTCCTCTATATGTGATCATAAAATCTTTATTATTTGTCTGTTATGAGAGAGAGAGAGAGAGAGAGAGAGAGAGAGAGAGAGAGAGAGAGAGAGAGAGAGAGAGAGAGAGAGAGAACACTTGCTGTGCTGTGTAGATTGAGTCCAGAGGACATCCTTTGAGAGTCGCTTCCTTCCCTATCCCCCACCCCACCCCGTGGGTTCTTGGATTCCAACTCAGGTTGTCAGGCTTGGGTTATAATCACTTTTACCTACTGAGCCATCTCCCCAGTCCTGTGCATGATTATCTTAAGACCTTGTAACGCATGACACTTACTGAATCCTGGATGCCAACTGTGAACTAATACTTTTCCTATTACAACTATGGTGCACCCAACGGATTTGGTGGATACTATGAATATATTCTATAGGCATGAATGTGAGGGTTACAACCACCATGTAAACCTAGTCATAATAACTCTACAACTCAGTGACAGCCAGAATTTTAAGCCAAGCTTGAGTCTACACAGCTGTTAATTTTCAGTAAGCTC